TTGAGTGATTGATTGAGTGAGAGAGAGTGAGAGAGAGAGAGAGAGAGAGAGAGATTGAATGAAGTTGCATGTGTGATAGTTACCTGAGTCTGTGCATCTCTCTCTACAAACAATGAAGCTGTGAGTTTTACTTCAAAATCAGCGATTTTACCCCCCATTGCTGAGAAAATATAGTGTAGCAATTCAGGATTCAGTATAGCTGTTTTATTAAAAGTCAGCATTGACAGCAAGTTTCTGTGCGCAATCTCCGATCTCTGTGCATTAATAAAAGCAGCTCATTAATATAGAATGGTGATTAAACTGACTTTAAAGGTTTTAATGCACACCTGCATATATATATATATATATATATATATATAATATTTATTTGTGTGTGTGGAAATTGTGAGAAAATCAAAACGTGAAATCAAAATAGTGAATCGAATCGGGAGTTGAGTGAATCGTTACATCCCTATTTTTTAGGATGACAAAAAGGTTTCAAAGTGACATTTTCTGCCTGGCCTGCTCAGCGGTCTAACAGCGCTCGTCAATGTCAAAAATAATTGAGATAGCCAATCAAATCAAAGTAGGCGGGCTTCACTGTTCACAGAAGCAAAGCGCGATTTTCAGCACAAAACGTCAATTTAATGTTGAGAGTGAGGTAAGATGAAGTAGCAAATCATTTAATACTAGTCAACCGACAGCTATATCCAGAGATGCAAACTACTCAACTTTACCCCTCAAATATGGCTATTTTGATTGATTGATTGATTGATTGATTGAGAGAGAGTGAGAGAGAGAGAGAGAGAGAGAGAGATTGAATGAAGTTGCATGTGTGATAGTTACCTGAGTCTGTGCATCTCTCTCTACAAACAATGAAGCTGTGAGTTTTACTTCAAAATCAGCGATTTTACCCCCCATTGCTGAGAAAATATAGTGTAGCAATTCAGGATTCAGTATAGCTGTTTTATTAAAAGTCAGCATTGACAGCAAGTTTCTGTGCGCAATCTCCGATCTCTGTGCATTAATAAAAGCAGCTCATTAATATAGAATGGTGATTAAACTGACTTTAAAGGTTTTAATGCACACCTGCATATATATATATATATATATATATATAATATTTATTTGTGTGTGTGTGTGTGTGTGAGCCTGCAGCACAAAAGCAGTGTTAAGTCGCTGGGGTATATTTGTAGCAATAGCCAACAATGCATTGTATGGGTCACAATTATACATTTCTCTTTTACGCCAAAAATCATTAGGATATTAAGTAAAGATCATGTTCCTTGAAGATATTTTGTAAATTTCCTAGCGTAAATATAGTCTTCAGATCTTCGAGTCACAGGCTGCTGTGCTGCAGGTTGGGCTGCATGGGTTCGCAGTCCTTCATGCTGTCGTCGTTCTCGCGCATGTACATGAGGAAGAGTGTGACGGTGGCGAATGTTGTGGCGTTGACGGGAAACGCTCTCAAGAGAGTCGACGTCAGGCCTCGAGTGAAGGTTCTCCATCCTTCCCGCCGCCAGCTCTGACGGACGCAGTCCACGATGCCGTCGTACCTGTTGGCTCCACCCACTCCGTCCGCCTGGAGGCGGGACTTGATGACGTCCACGGGATAAGTGGAGATCCAGGACGCCATTCCCGACATGCCACCCGCCAGGAGCAGCTTGGGAATGATGTAGTCGGCGTCAGCGTCGCAGCCCAGCGCACGCGTCAGTGTATCGTAGGCGAGGAAGTAGATGCCAAATCCAGGCGTCTCGCGGATGACGGTGGTCACCATTCCTCGGTTTATTCCTCGGCAGACACTTTTATCTAAAGCGACTTACAGTGCATTCAAAGTACACATTTACATTTCATCAGCTCTTGCTTTTCCTGGAAACTGAAGCCATGACCTTGAAGCCTTATGAATTGTATAATATTCACCTTTTAGGTGTAAATAAGGTACAGATTTGTCCCCTGAACAGTTCTGTCACAGTCACACGCTGTTGCATCGTTAAAGGTACAATTTTGCACATTATTTTGGACCGGGTTAGGGTTAGGATGCATGGATAAATAACTTGCAGACGTGTCACAGTTCTCTCATACAAGATCATTGAGGGACATTCTAAAAGACTTAATGAGTTAAGACGGTGTTTTTATAAGACCTAACTCTGTAAGCAGGTTATTAATAAATCATACTATGTACAGACAAGCAGATGAGTCCAGGATAGGAACACAATGCGTTTAATAACACGTTAAGCGTTTTCTTCCCATAGGAAAACATCAATGTGGATGCATTAAAACTTTTATTATAGGCTCTGCTTGTCTGTACATAGTATGCTTTATTAATAATGTGTTTACTGAGTTTGGTCTTTCAAAAACACTCTTAACGCATTAAGCCACGTTAAGCGTTTTCTTTATAATGTTATATGGGAGGAAAATGCTTAACACCTAATTAAACGCATTGCATTCGTATTCTGGGCTCATCTGCTTGTCTGTAATTAGTATGCTTTATTAATGGGTTTACTGAGTTTGGTCTTTCAAAAACACTGTCTTTAAGCCACGTTAAGTGTTTTAAAATGATCCCATCATCGATGTCCAAATCTCCTGCGGTACGTCGCTCTGGTCCTTCATCAGACGTTTCTACAGATGCTGATCTGGGCATCCTCGAACCCAGTGGACACTCATTCATCACAATAATTCAGCGGTACGGTCCATTAAACATAAAGTGGTTAAGATAATGTAAGGTCATTGTTCAGCCTTTGCGTTCGCTGACCTTTTCTCTCTCTATTAGACAGAGTCAGGAGGAGGTTTATCGGGGCAGTGAATCTGTGGTTTCCATCTCAAGAAGATTCAAGTCTTCAGATCTTCGAGTCACAGGCTGCTGTGCTGCAGGTTGGGCTGCATGGGTTCGCAGTCCTTCATGCTGTCGTCGTTCTCGCGCATGTACATGAGGAAGAGTGTGACGGTGGCGAATGTTGTGGCGTTGACTGGAAACGCTCTCAAGAGAGTCGACGTCAGGCCTCGAGTGAAGGTTCTCCATCCTTCCCGCCGCCAGCTCTGACGGACGCAGTCCACGATGCCGTCGTACCTGTTGGCTCCACCCACTCCGTCCGCCTGGAGGCGGGACTTGATGACGTCCACAGGATAAGTGGAGATCCAGGACGCCATTCCCGACATGCCACCCGCCAGGAGCAGCTTGGGAATGATGTAGTCGGCGTCAGCGTCGCAGCCCAGCGCACGCGTCAGTGTATCGTAGGCAAGGAAGTAGATGCCAAATCCAGGCGTCTCGCGGATGACGGTGGTCACCATTCCTCGGTTTATTCCTCGGACTCCCTCCTTCCGGTGGATGCGGATCAGGCAGTCCAGAGAGTTCCTGTACATCTTCCTGGAGGCGCTCTTCTCGCCCGTTCCCTGCATCTGCATGCGGGTCTTGGCTAGCTCCATCGGGCAGCAGATCACACACTGGATGAATCCGGCCGCTGCGCCTCACACAAAATTGAAAATTCTGTCATTAATTACTCACCCTCAAGACGTTCCAAACCCGTAAGAACTCCGTTCATTCTATGTCGTTATTTTAGTTTTCTTTGCGCACAAAAAGTATTCTTGTAGCTTCGTAAAGTTACGGTTGAACCCCTGATGTCACATGGACTATTTTAACGATGTCCTTGCTATGTTTCTGAGCCTTGATCGTGTTAGGATCCTTGCTGTCTATGCAGGGTCAGAGAGCTCTTGGAATTCATTACAAATATCTTAATTTGTGTTCTGAAGATGAACAAAGGTCTTACAGGTTTGGAACGACATGAGGGTGAGTAATTAATGGCAGAATTTTCATTTTTAATAAGAAAACTTTGCACTTTATTTACCCCTTTAAAAAAGTGCATAGCAGTACTTTAAGAGCACATATTGCTACTCCAAGTTACTAATATTTACATTTATCTCAGCGTTACTGAACCTTGAGCACATGCACTTCTAATCAAATCAATATCAGCTGATTCATTCATGTAGCACCTAATTAATTCATGTAGTAATTCATGAAGCACCTTGCAGTGAACAGTTGTTTAAAGAACTATTATTGTGAAGGACATTTTAATGATCTAAAGAACCATTTTCCACTATACACTTTTAAAAATAAAGGTTCTTTATTGGTGTAGATGAACCTTTAACATCTGTGGAACCTTTCCATTCCAAGGTTCTTTAAAGTGGAAAAGGTTCTTTGGATTATTAAGATGTTCTTCACTTTTAGATCTGTCCACTTGTAGGTTCTTTGGGGAACCAAAAATGGTTCTTCTATGGCATCACTGAAAATCCCCATTTGGAAACTTTCTTTTTTTTCTTTTTTAATCCAATATGAAGATTCCATGGATGCTAAAGGACTATTTTTTTTAGTGTCTTAATTTTTCATCAAAATGAGTTCCCCCTCTGAAATGACTTTCTCTTTTCAAGAAATCAGATAAATTATTGATACACTGCAAAAAAAATGCTTATCTTAGTATGTTTGTCTTGTTTCTAGTAAACGGGTAAGATTATCTGCCAGTGGTGTAAAATATTCTTAAAACGAGAATTTTACTTTACCCCACTGGCATGTAATTTTACTTGTAAAATTTTAAGTAGTAGTTTTGCTTACCAAGTAAATGCATCTTAATAGGGCGGGCTGCCCTCGACTAAGTCGTTCATTTTAAGCATTAGTCGACTAATCGCACGTTTATTAATAAATCATAGCCTAATAAGCGCTCGAGCGCACTCATAAAGCTTGCCACAGCGCACCGCAGAAGCTATGATTATGAACGTGTCAGGGGAAAACAGTAAGGAGACTGCATTAACATTTTAATAATTCACTGATAAACTAGTGCTTTCTTTGTTCTCGGTTTAAGAGATGAAGTCGGCGACACGACTCGTCGTCTCCGCAGTAGTGATGCACCTGTATGCATGTTTCACATGGATTACATATTCTGAGAATATTTGTTTTCCATTTGAATTGGTTCATTTGAAAGTAGACATTTCCCTCTCTATAGATATATTTTATATGTCTGTAAGGCAAAGATATACACGGAGTTTCGTGCTCAAGTTCACAGAGACCGAGACGGCAGAAAGCGCATCCTGTTCGCTTTCATTATTTCACGAAAGCGTGATTTGTTGTTATTGTGCGTGCACACAAATAAACACAGAGATTCCATGGATGCTAAAGGACAATTTTTTTTAGTGTCTTAATTTTTCATCAAAATGAGTTCCCCCTCTGAAATGACTTTCTCTTTTCAAGAAATCAGATAAATTATTGATACACTGCAAAAAAAATGCTTATCTTAGTATGTTTGTCTTGTTTCTAGTAAACGGGTAAAATTATCTGCCAGTGGTGTAAAATATTCTTAAAACGAGAATTTTACTTTACCCCACTGGCATGTAATTTTACTTGTAAAATTTTTAGTAGTTTTGCTTACCAAGTAAATGCATCTTAATAGGGCTGCCCTCGACTAAGTCGTTCATTTTAAGCATTAGTCGACTAATCGCACGTTTATTAATAAATCATAGCCTAATAAGCGCTCGAGCGCACTCATAAAGCTTGCCACAGCGCACCGCAGAAGCTATGATTATGAACGTGTCAGGGGAAAACAGTAAGGAGGCTGCATTAACATTTTAATAATTCACTGATAAACTAGTGCTTTCTTTGTTCTCGGTTTAAGAGATGAAGTCGGCGACACGACTCGTCGTCTCCGCAGTAGTGATGCACCTGTATGCATGTTTCACATGGATTACATATTCTGAGAATATTTGTTTTCCATTTGAATTGGTTCATTTGAAAGTAGACATTTCCCTCTCTATAGATATATTTTATATGTCTGTAAGGCAAAGATATACACGGAGTTTCGTGCTCAAGTTCACAGAGACCGAGATGGCAGAAAGCGCATCCTGTTCGCTTTCATTATTTCACGAAAGCGTGATTTGTTGTTATTGTGCGTGCACACAAATAAACACAGAGTCTATACAGATTTGAAAGATGTATTACTCTTCTGTATGAGCGCTAATGTTCAGCTTCCACACAGACACTTGCATAGTGGACATTTCTCTAGCTTAACATTAGATTGAGCGACCATGTAAAGTTGCTAATACTTATTTCAGATGATAAGCCATATTTGTGGTGGATGATTGATAGGCGAGCGTTTGGACGTCCTGCCGGATGCACTGTATTACCATTTTTTTCCCTGCGACTAAAAAAATGTTGGTCAACGAAGCCTCTTCTGGTCGACTAACGATTAGTCGACTATTAGGGGGCAGCCCTTTTTGATATTTAGAAACAAGACAAAAATACTAAGTAAGATAAGCTTTTTTTTGTTTTTGCAGTGTATGATCAGTTTTTGTCTTGTCTGTGAGATCAGTGCAAAACCAGCCTGTTGAGCTTTCAAAGAAGTCATAAGGATCTCTCGTCATTCATCCTACTCACCGATTCCTGACGGACGATGGACTGGAAGCAGTGATACGTGCCGCGGTACAAGGGCTTGTCCACGCTCTGAACCTGCAGTCTCACCTAGAAAATGGAATTTTTCCCATTAAACCTGCTGTGATCAGGCCACGAGTGATGGTTGAGATGCAAAAACACAGCAGAAATCACACAGAAGTGAATGAATCTAGAGCTGATGTTTGACCATATTCAATAAGATTCCAGTCCAATGGAAAGAGAGGAACGGACCCGGGCTTTACTTACGAGCTTAACCTCCGAGCGGCCGGTGTAACAGCCTCGCTCTCATCTACAACAAAGTGACACTTTTGCTGTGAAAGACCCTTCAGCTGTGAACTCATGATCAGAACAAAGGCACCAAGGCAAGACGTATCTTGCCCTTTGCCTTTAAGTACAAAAAACACTCTGGGTTTTAGAAAAGTGTTAGTTTTACAGCAGCGGCTCACAGAAACACACACATGCAACTAATGACAATAACAGACCATAATACTCAACACAATACCGCTGATGCTTTTTAATGCAGGTATATCATCTAAAGGCAAGCGTCTTGATCAGGGTTAATATGCATTTAGGCATTCGATGGCTGCTTTTATCCAAAGTAACACATCGCATTCATTTCGATAAATGCGTACAATCTGTTCTTGCACAGGAACACACAACCCTCAAGCTAAAACATTGAAATATTAAAGCCATTTATCATTTTAAATAGATTTTAATTGATTATACAATCTAATAGATGGCTATTTGTCTGACTAACGTAAGACAATTTGTGCACATGCGTTTGGTGTTTGAGATGTGCTTTAGATGCACTCTTTAAAATAAAGCAGTTTTTGCAGTGATGCCATAGAAGAAGCATTTGTGACTCTGGAGCACAAAACCAGTCATAAGGGTCAATAAATAATCTTTCCATTGATGTGTGGTTTGTTAGGATCTGACAATATTTGAAAATCTGGAATCTGAGGGTGCAAAAAAATCTAAATATTGAGAAAATCATCTTTAAAGTTGTTCAAATGAAGTTCTTAGCAATGCATATTACTAATCAAACATTAAGTTTTGATATATTTACGGTAGGACATTTACAAAATATCTTCATGGAACATGATCTTTACTTAATATCCTAATGATTTTTGGCATAAAAGAGAAATGTATAATTGTGACCCATACAATGTATTGTTGGCTATTGCTACAAATATCCCCCAGCGACTCAACACTGCTTCTGTGCTCCAGGCTCACGTATATGCTTCCCCAAAGAACCTTTCAGCGAAAAAAGTCTTAAAATAACATTTTACAAATCTAAAGAGATTTTTTCTTTTTTCCGCTATAAAGAACCTTTAGGTTCCATGCATGTTGAGGGTTCTTCATGGAACCACCAATAAAGGGCCTTTATTTTTAAGAGTGTAGAAGAAGCATTTGTGGTTCCTCAAAGAACCTTTCAGTCAGTAGTTCTGTTGAGTTTTACTGGTTTAGTCAAAGCAGACGTACCTTGACCGTATCAAACGGATGTCCGACCAGCACACCTGCGGCTCCTGAAACATGAACGCCTGAGAGTGAGTTCAGACAGCATGATTAGGAACGTGTCAGAGCTGCAAGCGACTGATGCAATGTGTTTGAGCTATGAGTCTGAGGTCAGCTCTTCAGCCTTGACCCGTGCGACTGAAAGACACCTGCGTCATTCATGCATGAGGCAAGAGCTGTTTGACCAATCGATGTAAACATCACGCGATCATCATCTGCAGACTGCAAAACTATCTCACAGACGTCTTCATGCTTCTCAGTTCTTATCACACTGCGAAAACTGATTCTCTTACTTAGTATTTCTGTCTGGTTTTCTAGTATTAATATCTAAACATTCTTCAATCAGGAAGCATTTACTTGACATGACTTAAAATATGACTTGTTTTCTGAAAAAAATAAAATTGTTAGTTTTAGCTTAAAACAAACAAAAATATCTGCCAGTGGGGTTTAGAAAAATAATCTTGTTTAGCCTTTGAATTAAGATTATTTTTCTTAACCCCACTGGCAGATATTTTTGTTTGTTTTAAGCTAAAACTAACAATTTTATTTTTTTCAGAAAACAAGTCATATTTTAAGTCATGTCAAGTAAATGCATCCTGATTGAAGAATGTTTAGATATTAATACTAGAAAACCAGACAGAAATACTAAGTAAGAGAATCAGTTTTTGCAGTGCAGAATGATGTTAGATTTGGTTTCGCTCAGATTAAATGCATGAGGATCAGGATCATGGTTTATTGGCTCTTCAGTCGCTCACATTAAAGTATTTAATGCCATCTGTTGGATCCCAGAGTGGGACATTAGTCAGAAGAGTGGAAGTGTCTGGAGTCAGTGAGCTCAGTAACCAGTGTAACCAGAGAGTTCTTCTCTACTTCAGCAACTGGATCAGTTCTCATTTACTCTGCATGTTATTTGACTGAGTGTTGAATGTTTCAGTGAGCGTGTGCAGGTCTTCAGTCAGTCGAATGAAGCATGTCTTACCTCCAATGCATCCTGCAACAAAGTCCAGAGCCATTCCTCAGATGATGATGATGATGATGATGATGATGATGATGAAGATGAGTGTCTGAGCTCTGATCCTCCAGCAGCAGCAGCAGCAGCAGGGTTTGTTCAGTCGCTGGACGTCTGTGCTCATGAGCAGCTGCTGCTTCTGTGCTGCTATTTTTACTGAATGAAGTTGATATGAAGGGGAAAGTCCATCTGTGACCAATAGAAGCTCCAGGATGAAGAAACACCCCCATCATCACCATCATCATCATCAAAGCTGTTAGCTGCATGTCTGCTTACAGACACAGTTGAGTAAAACAGCTGTAGATCTGTCAGATCTAACTCTGCAGTGATTTAGAGAGCAGAAGAACTTGAGTTCACTGTAGTATAGTGTTGCACACAGGGCCAGAATTGAGGAGGGATGGCATCCCCCTGCTCGAAAAAAAAGAGAAAAAGCATCCCTTCAGCAAAAGCACCAGATGTTTCGAGTGAGTCAGTGCTTCAACAGTTCATTCAGAAGGACTCACTTGTTTGGTTTTGAACGAATCGTTTGATTTGAATGATTCAATAAATCTTTTATTTAAAGATGAACTTGCTGCCAGCTGCTGGCGGGTTTATTGTCCTCATTATTGATCCACGACAGGCTTCTAACCCAGACGAGGTGCCAGCACTACAACACATTTAGCTAAATATTGACCAAAATGCCTCAATTTCTGGCACCAGAAGGAAAAAAGCTTATAAATAATAGTTCATTTAATAAGGCTAATTTTTCATTCAATAAAAACCTTTTAAAAATTACACACATTTTGTATGTCATCCGGAAATACGGGTCCTGAGGAGAAGGGTTGGGAATCCAGAATCGCAAACTTAAGGCAGTGTTTCCCAACCACTGTGGAAATTGATCAAAAACTATCTCTATTATATTTCGTTATTATTATTTTAAATCGGTGCTAGTGGTCATCGTCATGTCTGTTTGTGGGTTTTACAAATATTTAACCAATGAAAAGCATTCAAAGGGTGCATGTCCCTGCGGATCACAAACATGGGATGAGACCACAGGCGTTCAAGCTTTCAGACGCTGTGATCCTCATGTGAGCCACACACATTTAATACAGCTGTACATTTACAACTATATAGACCCAATTTAGACTGTGAAAAATATTCTTAATGAGGGTAAAATGTTACTATTTAAATATTACTAAAATATTATTTTATTTAAATTGGGTTACATAATTATTATGTCATTTTTTTCTACTCCCTATAGAACTGTACTATTATATTACTATTTTGTCTATTTTAAGTTTTTTTTTATTTATTTTAATAAATGTTTAAAAAATATATTTAGATTAAAGGGGTCATATGATGCTTTTTTAAAGATCATTATTTGGTGTATTTTGTGTAACAGAATATGTTGACATGCTTTAATGTTCAAAACACATTATTTTTCAAATACTGTACATTATTGTAGGTCCTCTATGCCCCGCCTCTCTCAAACGCTTCGTTTTCTACAAAGCCCCTCCTTCCGACAAGCGCAGTCTGCTCTGATTGTCATAGCAAAGTCTGAATGACCTCCTCTCCTAGCTTCACGAAACGGTCGTCCATAAAATGCATTGCTGTTCTGTTGTAAGTAATCTTAAAGATTCCTAAATGCATCTACTTTCGGAAGGCCAAATAAAGTGCTATTGCTTTCGTCTAGAAACACACAGCGTCTCCCTGACATGCTGCTTCAACTCTAACTGCGGTTACTGAAACCACGCCTTCTTTCTTTGCGTGCACATTTGGGCGCATTATGCTAATATTCCCACATAGTGAGGTAGATATGTGGGGGCGTGTTAGAACGAGCCGTTTTAGGGGGGCGTGGCAGAGTCTTAACTTTGATAAAGAATATCTCTTTGGTTTTGAGACTTTAGTCTTTGCAACTTCAGGGATCTTATCTATGCACAATCAGCTTGTAACACTCCAAAGAGAAAGAACAACTTGAAATCGTTTTCCTCTGTAATTATTTATTTTAATACACTATTTATTTATTTCCTCTCCGTGTGTTATTGTGATGTAGCGTGCTGGTGTGTGATGAAGCCTCAGTCGCACCTGTGTGAGAAGAAGATTCCTCTGCGCAGGAAACGGTGCGGTGTTTTTCCCGTGACTCGAGCGATTCTGTCCACCAGCTCCTGATCGATCTTACTGCTGCCGAACCGCACTGCCAGCAGCAGAACAACCTCGTTAATGCATTATTCATCACAGGTCATATATGAAATCAGACCTGCAGCAGATCTTCCACGGATGCACTGAAATGATGATAACAACATCAACTGACCGATGAGTTTATCGTAGTCGACTCCTTTGGCGCTGCTAGAGGAGACGTTCCACGGATCCACCTGATCATCTCCGTCCTCCGGCACTGCTCCGTTATCCACCACCATCTCACCGTCCGCCGGCGGACATCCAGCCTTATAGTCCTGACCGCTGAGACGCTTGTAGTCCAGCTTCATCTGCAGCAGCTGCTGCACCGCCGCGTCAACTTCAGCCTGAGGAACGACAAAATAATCATGTTATTAATCACATCGCATGTCATGAAAGCTCCATCAGAAGAGCATTATTATTTCAGTGTCAGACTCACTTTGGGGCTCTTCTGAGCTTTCAGAGACCTCACTGTGTCTCCCTGAGCTGTCAGCTTCTCGTACAGGTCCATCGGGCTCAAATCTGACATCTTCACCTGTAATGATGTGAATGTGATTAGTAATATTGTGATAAATGTGCCTGACGCATGTCAACATTAAAACATCGATCTGAAATCACTCATTATCAGCGCTCACACCGGTAATAATAACATGTTCATTTCAGCATCAAATAACAGTGAAGAATAAATAAACGCACCGTTTTGTGTTGGTGATTTAACTCATTCCGCTTGCATCAGACACACTGCGGCCGCGTCACACCGATAACTGCCCGACAGGAAACATTCACTCCCCCTGCAGCAGTTCCGGTCGCGTGTGTGACACACAGCTGTCAGTGAGAACTTTTTTTTTTAAAACACTTTCAGTGATACTCTGTTTTACTTTGATAACATTAATACAAGCACGCTGTTTAATGCAGGATGCATGTTTTATAAACATGAAATATCCAATGGAGACTTTTAGTTTGTCTAAAAGGTCCTCACGGACACGGATTTTAAACGAGACCTTTATTTTGTCCGGAAGTTCCTCACAGATTCGCGCTTCCGGTGTTCGCTGTCCGACGCTTCAAATGAAACACCGCGCGACAGACGCGAACATTAATCGTGTAAACAAGAGCAAATAGTCATAAAAACGGCGCTCTTAAATTGGAACTGAAAGTTTATTTTAACTCGTTTATTAATTAAGATAACTGGATCTTTTCAGTGATTGGTCAGTCTTCTCCAATCATTCAGTGCTCTTAAACTCCACCCCTCACACTCCTCTGAGAGCCACGCCCACATCTCAACATCCAATCAGCAACCAATGCACAGTTAAACCATGCCTATGTTTTTTTCAATTGTATTGCACATTACAGAATTTAAAAGATAACTTGAACACTGAGTGCTGGAGGTTTAATTAGTGTGAGAACTAGTAGTGATGATTAACCTAGCCAGCACTAATGAATATAAATCATTATGCAGAGTGACGGATGAAAGAACATCACGGTGCTGCTGGCAAGGACCTGGATGAGAATGAATGAGTAAATTACTATGCAGAATGACTGAATATGTTTTATTGAATTGAATGACTCAAACACTCCTGTGATGCTCCAGGAACATGCGTGTGTTTGGTGAAGGTGTTCTTCATGTACACGTCTCCTGGGGTCTCTGGCGTGGAGCCGCTCCATCACTGTCGTGTTGTAATGTGTGTCGAGACCCAGGAGATCTGCTCGCGTGTGTCCTGAGGAAAGCCGAATGACGCACACGCTGAGCTCCATTCGCTGTCATGAGCCCTTCATAGATGCACACTCCTCACCTTTCAGGGACAACTCGCTCTATTCAGATCAAAACAGGTCACCTGTGAGATGATTAGATCCGGTGAGAAAGTGTTTTTATGAGGGGGTTTAAATAAAGAACTGGGGCCAGCCGCATAAACTGTTTCGACTAGTCTTAAAAACTACTCTAATTTTTTTGTTCAAGTCTGGTAAACTTCTTTTAATTCAGTTATGCAAAGGTAGATTGTTCTTATTTGTATTGGAAGAGTAAGACTGGTCTTGGCAGCTGCTAGTTGGTTACACTAGTTCTTAAGACACGGTCTTAACATGATGGCTACGTTTATGCAACTGCTCCCTGGTTGTTTCAATAAGTTTTGTATAGTACTATTTTCTTTACTCTTTACTTCAAAAACTATGTTTCAGAGGGTGATATTTTGTGTGTTTGAGGTCTGAGATGTGAGAACGGTGAAGAGAGAGAGAGAGGGCAAACATTTAGTATTGTAGCTCAGCATTGCCGTCTAATCAGCCGATATTGTGTTAAATAGCCTGCAGCAGAGCACTTCATCTTTTATAACATGGGATTTTGACCTAATATATTCAGTCTTGATTTTTGTAAAATTTTGCAACAAGATGTTTGTTTTTGTTTTGTTTTGTAAAAAAAATAGCAGTTTTGGACATATGAGGTAATAAAAAAATATTTTAAAAATGCCTTCAAGTAACTACAAATGAGCATGTAAAGCAAATATCTTTAAAAGAAACCCCCTTTACCTGTTTGCATCTCTGGCCCTTCATCATCAGCTGCTCAGATATTCATGAGAAACAGAGCGTCTGTGTGATTCATATGAAGGATTCACACGGCGTCTGCTGCTTTATGATCATGACTCTTCTGTGTGTTTGAGCACTGAGGAAGACTCCTGCACTGGGTTTGATCAGATGCCGAGGGTCTCGCTCATCTCGTCTTGTGTCTGTGTCTGTGTGTGTGT